CCGCGTCGCACCTAGGAAAACAGCGGTGCACCCGTCCGTGTATGTGCCACTATCTGTGTTCCGGTGCGCTTTCAGTCGCTAAGTACCTTTTACAGCGTTGGCGGCCCACGGTTAGTCAGTATTCGGAGATTACTGGCGCACCGCTGTTTCGGTCAACCCTATATACCGTTCCTGTGTACTTATTTTATATATTATACTTAGCTATTTATTACATACTATCAAAATTGGCCGACCGATATCGTGTTATAGTAATCTGACGCAACTTAGGCCAATCCTATTATTATATCTCCTGAGCTACTAGCGTATTGAAGTTAGGCGGGCCCTGGGTGTTACCACCATCTTTCTGTGTTGTGATGTATTTTAGCCACCATCCTGTTTGGTTGCCACCATTGTCGTTGCTGTCGCGGCCCTGTCGCATGCGCTCAGGTGCTCACAGATGTCCCTGCGCTGCCCACGTCAGGTCGTACAATGCTCTGTCACGGAGGTGATCGTTACGCCGTCCGGCGAAGAATTGTCTTCCTCGCGAATCCCGATTGCTCTCCGATAAACAGCAGCAATGCTTCGACCTTTGTCGACACCCTACTTCGGCGATCGGCGCAACCCGAATTTCGATAGAAATGGGCATCCGGACCGTAGAGCGAGCTTAAATCATACGCCGGCGACTGGCATGCCTCGGAAACATAGCGGAGGCTGAACCGGAATTGCGATAAGATGAGACAATATGCGACATACGCATTACGCGAGGGGCCACATATTTTGGCCCGCTCGTAGTTCCTGGATCCGCTTCCCGCCGGGGGTCAGCGGAGAGGCTGCTAGGCGTCTTGGCTCACACCCGAGTGGGTGTGTGTTACGTGTTTCGCCACCATCTTGATAGTGATCAAAGTATATAATGCTCGCCTCTTTACACGAAAAAGAGAGTTTCGGCACCTCAATAGGGGGCTTCTGCGTGTGTACACACAATTTCAGAAGCCAGACAGCGCGACAGCAGGTAGGCCAGGAGAGCAGGGCAGGCCAGCAATCAGGCAGGGCCGCAAGCAAGCAGCGGCAGGCAGGCAGGCAGGGGCAGGAGCAGGGCAATGGGCGTTAAACAACAGACCTCGGCGCGAAGGCAGGGGCAAGGCAAGAGCGCAGGACAGGCAGGGGGCAGGCAGGCAGGGCAGGCAGGCAGGGGAGGCAGGCTTAGGGAGGCGGCAGGCAGGCAGGTACACGCGGCGCGCCCAGACAGGCAGGCGGCAAGCAGGCAGCAAGCCGGCAGGCAGGCAAGCATGAATTAGGCAGGCGAGGCGAGGAGGCAGCGCAGACCGGCCCAGGAAGGCATCATGCGTAGCAGATACCGGCAGGGGCGCAGCGCAACACGGTAGCCGAGAATAGGGCACGGCAACGCGTAAAGCAAGGCAGGCAGGCAGGCAGGCAGGTAGGCAGGCAAGCCGATAATAAAACAGCTGGGTTAATATGTGGGTTAGTTGTATTAATGAATTAATAAAATCAGTATAGTAAAAATTAAAATATGTGCGAGTTTCCCTAAATTTATGATGATTAATTTTAATAAACTAACACAAATTAAGTAAATTAAATATCTAAAAGACATTAAATAATAAAAAAACAACGGATAGCGCACGAAATTTCCTAGATGAATTTTCGCCGGGTATCTGTTCACGACGATACGCGTTTTACGGCGCACCCGTCGCATGAAATCATCCCACCATAAAAATACACAATATATAAATAATTAAATAAATAAATATATAAATAAGTAAATAAATAAATGATTGAATAAATAAATACATAAATAAATAAATAAATGATTGAATCTATAATAATATAAGAATGAAATATAATATAATATTAACAAAATTAATTTATCCATTTATTATTAACCATGCACACTCAGCGGATTAATAATATGATTATAATATATATATATATATATATATATATATATATATATGTAATANGAGAGAGAGAGAGAGAGAGAGAGAGAGAGAGAGAGAGGACTGATGTCACGTTTTCTACCTCTCCTACCCCCTCATTCCGCTCCCCCTCCTCCTTCTCTCCTCTTCCCCTAACTTCTCTTCCCTCTCCTCATCCCCTCTTTCCCCTTCTTTCTTCCTCCTCCTCCTCCACTCCTCCTCCTTCTCCTCCTCCTCTCCCACTTACCCTCCCCTCCTTCTCCTCCCCCCCTGCGGATATATATTTATATTTACACTCACATAGCGACGGGTTGAGCTTGACGCAGTCGATGCCAGCCATCGAGGCTGCTGCGATGAGGGCAGCATTGCGCGTGCCTGCAATCGCCAGTAACTCCGGACACGTGATGTCGACCTTCCTGGCAGTGTTGAAGGACGCAGCGCGCGCCAGTGACGCAGCCACGTAGCGCACCGCCCGCCGCCGCTCGTCGCCGTCAGGCGCCGCCACCGTCGCCTGATTGTCGCCGCAGGGCGGCGCCGCCGCGTCGCTGGGCCGATGCGGCGAGGCGAGCGGGTCAATGTCGGAGAGTTCGGGACTCGCTCTGGGCGCCGTCGGGCTGTCGCTGTTGTAGCGGTGGCGCCGATGATGATGCCGGCACGGCGGCCGCCGACCGTGCTCCTCCTCATCCTCCTCCTCGCCATCGTCATCGTCATCGTCCTCGCCGCCGCGCTTGCGGCGCAGCGACAGCGGCAACTGCGGCGTCACTTTGAGCCGCTGCCGTCGCAGCCGTTGCATGTTGCACCAGCGCGTTATCTTGCGGTTGGCGCGTCGGCCCAAGTGCGCTAGGTACTTGATCAGCTCTCCGTAGCAGCCTCCTGGTTCGCCCCCGCCCTCGCTGGTGCCGATCGTACTGGATGAGAGAGCGCGCAGTCGCTCCTGCGCCATACGCTCCGTCTCACGTCGCTTCGTCTCTGAGAACTGGGTTGCTATGACGACCAGGCAGAGGTTGATCATGAAGAACGAGCCGATCTGAAGCAGAGGAGGTAGGTGGATGTGTGTAGAGAGGAAGGGAGAGATATATAATGGATAAATAGATATAGAGATGAATAGGTAGATAGAGATGGGGAGATAGATAGAGAGAAAGAGAGACAGAGAGAGAAGAGAGAGAGAGAGAGAGAGAGAGAGAGAGAGAGAGAGAGAGAGAGAGAGAGAGAGAGAGAGAGAGAGAGAGAGAGAGAGAGAGAGAGAGAGAGAGAGAGAGAGAGAGAGAGAGAGAGAGAGAGAGAAAAGAGAGAGGGGATATCCCCCCAC